TCTGGAAAATCATACCAGACATTTGTGTAGATGAATATCCCACAGACAATTATCTGAATCTAGAATGTAGGTCTGCTTTACACAGAAACACAAAAATTATGTTTTCCTGACCTCAGTATATTTGGAACACTGAATTTTCAGGGATTGTAACTACTGTGGAAATCAAGAGGTCATTTTATCTTGTTTTGTTTAAAGCTTGACCAGGAATTGTTCACCATTTTGGAAGGACACATTTTCAACAGCAATATTTCCGTGAAGTTGAATCATCAATTTAGCCTCAGTTTTATTTGTACAGCAAGGATGCTCCTTGGACGCAAGGATGGTTAAGCTTGATCTCACACATTTTGGGCCTGCTTTAAGGATGAGTCAGTCCTTGGAGAAGGACATCATGGTTGGAAAGTAGGCGGGTCAGTGAAAAAGAGGAAGACCATTAATGAGACAGATTGATATAGTGACTGTAGCAATGGGCTCAACTATATCAGAGATGGTAAGAATGGCACAGGTTAGGGGAAGCTTCAGATCCATTGTTTCTCTGGTTGGTATGAATTGTAGCTGACTTGACAATGCCGAACAATAACAATAACAATAACAATAACAATAACAATAACAATAACAACAAGAAGTAAAGGTGTAACTATCTGGTTCTTGACTATCTCTTCTGAGTGTGGTCACACACACATACACACATTCAAACATATTTTATTTTGTTATACTTTGTTGTTTCTAGTTGACTTCAACCCTAACTCATGGTGCATGCGAGTAAAACTGCTCCATAAAATTTTTGAGGCTCTTTCTCTTCCCAGGAGCAGACCACCAGGTCTTTCTTCTGTGGTGCCTCTGAGTGGGGTTCAGCTAAAAGCCTTTTGCTGAGTGATTGAGCACTTACTTGCCTGCACCACTCATAAAATCCTACATATGACACGACTTGCCTTTTAGCTTCTTTATTTATCTTATTCATTAGCAGCCCTAGACTAATTGCTGCTGCATAGTTAATTCCAGCTCATAGCCAACTCTCTGTCAGGCTTCCAAGGCTCTAAGTTGCAAATGAAGAGACTGCTCATGTTTTCTCCAAAGAGTGGCCAGTAGACTCAAACTATCAGAGAGGCTTGGCCTTAGAGTTAGCAGAGCAACTTGCTACAGACTATACCACTAGAGCTCCCTTAAATTATTAGGACATTATACTGATTATACTAGACATTGAACTGATGTTTTAATGTAATTATTTGTAAGTAGGAGGACTTTGAGTCCACCAGTAGCTCCGAAATATGGGCGATCTCCTTCTAGAAACCTGATTGAGGATCAGTTATGAGTTGGTTCCAACTCAACCATATGGAGAAACACATGTGTAGGTAAATGAAATGATCTAAGACTTGCATATCAAGACAGTGAAGAGGGTTTAATAAATATTTCTTATAAAAGGAGACTACTGTGTCTGACTACAGGAGACTACTGAGGATCTTACTTGGATCCACAATAGAAACTCATGGTACCAACAGGAGCTATATTACACTGGGCAAGCCTGCTGTTAGGAACCTTTCCAAATTACTAAGGAGCAATGATGTCAGTTTAAAGACTAAGGTGTACCTGATTTAGGCCATGGTCTTTTCAATCACTTGCTATGTGTCTGAGAGCTAGACAATGAATAAGGATGACAGCAGGATGTTTTTGAGCTGTGGTGTTGAAGAAGAGTATGGAATATACAATGGAATGCTAAAAGCAAACAAAAATGTCTTAGAGAAAGTATAGTCAGAGTGCTTTTTGGAAGCAAAGATGACAAAACTTTATCTTGCATACTTTGGACATGTTGCTAGAAGAGAGGCTATTCCTTGAAGATGGACATCATGCTTGGAAAGGTGGAGGGTCAGTGGAAGAGAGGAAGACCCTGAACCAGATGGATTGACAGTGACTACAGAAATGGGCATAACCATGTCAAAGATGATTAGGATGACACAGGATAGGACAAGGTTCCCATCTATTGTTTATAAGGTTGCTATGAGTCATGCTTGGTTTGATGGCAGCTAGCAACAACAACAACAACAAAACTGTGTTAGAAGAAGTGGAGCAGCATCATCCTAGATTTTCTTTCTCCCTCATAGCTATCCTTTCGGGTCCTGTTCCTCTGCTTTCTAGTTCTCTAACTGTGCTCTGGACCTAGGAAGAACTTTATAGCCAGCCATGGTTTTTCTCAGGAAACAGTAGCCTCCAAATGAATTTTCCTGACAGGGACCCCTGTGGCTCAAGGTAATTAGCTTCCTGTGTTGCAATATTATGAGAATCTCTTTGTCACCCACCAACCCAACACCTTCATATTACAGGGAGGCAGTGCTTTGCCTGTGAAAGTACTGATGAAGTAACAAAGTAAAGATGATGTGCTTTAAGAAAATACCATAAGCCTGATCTAGCCCCCGAAATGTCTGCTAGGCCTTTCATCTAATAGCCACAACATCTCTTGGAAATATTGATCTCTTCAGTAGTATTCTCGGATATTATTAAGTTACTCATGTAGTAGGCCAGAGAAGGCAGACTTCTGCCGAAACAGGGCCCAGATGTGAGAAAGGAGAGAGGCGTAGGCCTGGGAGTGGTCAAAAGAATCAACTGGCAGAGAGCCTGCAGGGGTTGCTTAGAGCTGGGGGGAAGAGAAGCACAGAATTTAGTAAGGTTGACTCCAAAATATGGCTTAAAGGGAAGAAGAGATATAGAAATATTCCCACAGGAATATTCTGGAAAACTGCCACTACTACCACAGAGAAGTGAGGATACCAATAAGGATAGTAGGAGGAATGTGTACCAAATAGTTATCTCGGTTGGTGGTATTAGAATCAACTTTTATTTTCTCATTTTTCCTTGTCTATAACTCATATTGTTGTTGTTGTTGTTAGGTGCCATCAAGTCGAGTATGACTTATAGTGACCCTGTGAATAAAAGATCTGAACTCAGTCCTGTCCTGCACCATCCTCACACTTCGTAAGACACATCAGCAGGAACCATGTCAATACACCTGGCTGAGGATCTCCCTCTCCTTTGCTGACCCTCCACCCTTCCCAGCATCATGTCCTTCTCCAAGGAATGAATAGTCCTCTCCAAGCGACATGTCCAATGTTTGTGAGGCATAGCCTCATCATTCCTGCTTCCAAAGAGCACTCCAGCTTTACTCCCTCCAAGACATATATGTTTGTTCTCTTGGCCTTCCATGGGATGTTCAGTGCTCTTTTCCAACACTACAGCTCAGAAGTGTCAATTCTTTTGCAGTCATACTTATTCTTTGTCCAACTCTCAAATGCATAGCAAGTGATTGGAAAGACTATGGCCTCAATCAGATGCACCTTAGTCCTCAAACTGACATCACTACTCCTCAATAATTTGAAAAGGTCCCTAACTGCAATTTTCCCAGTGTAATGCATCTCCTTATTTCCTGAATGCTTGTACCAAGGGTGTTAAACATGGATCCAAGTAAGATGACGTATTGATAGTTTCAATCTTCTTTCCATCCATCATGATACTGCCTATTGGTCCGATGGTAAGAATCTTTATTTTCTTGATATTGAGACACAATCCATACTGAAGGGTGTCTTCCTTGATCTTCTGCAACAAGTGCTTCAGGTCCTCCTCACTTTCAGCTAGCAAGGCTGTGTCATCTGTGTAATGCAGATTGTTGATTAGTCTCCCTCCTATCCTGATGCCACATTCCTCTACATAGAGTCCAACATCTTGGATAATTTGCTCAGCATAGAAAACAGTGAATAAATATAAGTATGACTTGGAGGAATTGCAGACTTGGTTTCTGATCATCACAAAAAAAAAGTAAGTTTTGTTACTACATGAATCACAATAATGTTTTGTTTCCTACTGTGTATAAAAGTTATGTTTATACTACATTATAATCTATTAAGTATGTAGTAATGTTACGTAAGTGAGGAAACTACCAAATGTGACACAGAGATGTAAAGTGAATGAGCACACGGTGTTAGAAAATTAGCTCTGATAGACCCACTCGAGGCAAGGTTTCCACAAGTTTTCAGTTTGGAAAAAAAAAAAGATTTATCTGTGACTTGCTTAACGCAAAGCAAAATCAAACAAGATAGTGGCTGAAGTCTGGGCTTCAGGTCTAACTGCCTGAACTATCACTTCTGAGCTGGGATCTTCAGCAAATTACATAAACTGTTTAGGCTCATTCCCTTGAGTGCAAAATAGGAATAGTAACAAAACCAACTTCGTGGTAGATTTGAGTAGGAAATGAGCTCACACACACAGAGCACTGTGGTGCTCAGTAACTGTGCAGATGTGTGCCGCTGAGTGTGCCGTCGCCCAGAGCTGAACTGCCTCACAGATTGTCTGGGGTGTAACCTTCACAGGAACAGATCACCAGGCCTTTTCTCCCAATGAACGACTGGCACGTCTGAATAGCCAACATTTTATTTAGTAGTGGAGCACTTCGCCATTGAGCGACCAGGACACCCTAGTCAGTAAACAGTTAAAATACCTGCAGTGACAGATTTCTCTGGACATGGTTTCCTTCCGGCCCACTTGAGGACCAGACATGCCTACAGTGTAGCCTCCAAGGCAGTCATTATCTGTATTACCGTGAACCAAACACTTACCTGGAAAACAGAGATATCTGGTCAAATCGTGTTGTTGTTAATGCCACTGAATTGACTTCAACTCGCAGGGACATTATGTACAGCTATCCTGCACCACCCTTAAGGTCTCTGTTGTGCTTAAACCCATTTTTTTTAAACTATGGCTTTTTATTTTCACATGGACAGTTTGAATGAGGAAGTTACCAGTAGCATTTGTTTAAAAGCAAACAAGCAAGACTCAACAAAACAAAGATCTTGGCTTAAAAAAATCGAGACCACCAGGACAGGAAACTATTGGGAGGGTTCATATTACTTTTAGAAGGCATTATACACTGCAGATTTTGTAGAAGAAATTTTTAAATAAGAGATGCTTGTTTGAAGGTTTTTGCCCCCCTCAGGCTCAAGAGTGATCTTAGGGAGGAGTCACAGTGCTAGGAGTAAAGTGATTGGACAGTGATCACTGCCCAAGGCTTTGGAACGGATCTTGCTGTCACACAGTGCAGGTAACAGAGAGTGAGACAACAGAAAGTAATCAAGACGCCAACCAACATTCTTGGCCCGTGCATTCATCATATAGGTCCAGAACGTATAGGCATAAGCTGTATCTGGGTAGAGATGCCGGAAGCTGTCAGTCAGTGGTACAGCTTCCAGCAGTTCCCCAAAGCCTTGGCTCTCCTGTGGAGTAAAACCAGCATTCTTTTTGTTTCCCTTGGGGTTGCGAAGGTCAATCTCTTCATGAGCCACATTGAGGTCCCCACACAGCACAAGAGGCTTACGTGAGGCCAAGTCCTTTAGGAATTTGCGGAAGGCTTCATCCCAGCGCTGCCGGTACTCCAGTCGCACCAGACCGCGGCCTGCGTTAGGTACATAGGCTGTAACCAGCACAAACGCATCAAATTCGGCTATAATCACCCGGCCTTCTTTATCATGTTCTTCCTCACCAATGCCATAAGAGACTTTGAGTGGGCGCTGACTGGAGAGTAGGCCGACACCACTGTA